GGAGGCATGAGGTCTCAGCCCAACTAGCGTAGCAGCAACTGACCTGCGCTTATTGAGAGCCGACTCGGCCACTCCACTCTCCAGGGCCATGGGCTGCCGATGGGAGCAGCCCAGTCCGCTACGGCGTCCGCACCTTCGGCCTGGCGCCACGCACCAATGCCAGGATCGTAGCGCGCTTGGCCATGCGCGCAGACAGCCCCTCGCGCTCCTGGAGTCGCCGAACTCGCCCTCCACAGATCTCGTTGCCGAGGTTCCGCATGTGGGTGAAGGCCACGATGAGAGGTCATCGCGTCAGGGCGAAGTTCGCCTTCTTGGCATTGTAGCCTGTGACCACGCAGCCAGACGCGGTCACTTGGATCACCGGGCCGCACTGGAAGACCTGCTTTGTGAACCAACGCACCTCCGCGAACAGGACGCCAGCACCTTGGACACTGGCAGCGTCTATCAACGCTCTCGGTTCGATGCTGGATCACCGCGCCTTCCTTCGCAGCAACACCGTGCGCAGCAGGAGGTGGATCATCGTCGTCGCATGCGAGCAGGCTGCCGCGATGTTCTGGTACGGCGTGCACTCTATCGAGAGGGGGGCCCCCTTTGATCAACCTCGGGCTCCGTAGCCAAGGCGGCCGCGCAGCGTAGTTCAGCTCCTTCGCATGCTGGACCAGTGTTGGCAGTACGATCGTCTCGAAGCATTCCTACATCAATGAGCACTGTCAGCGAGACATCGCCTCGACGCTGTGCCAGTTCTGACTGCAGGTTGTGGGAGTAGGCCGCGTCGACAGACTTCGCTCCAGGCCTGGCTCCCCAGAACGCGTTGGTGAAGTTGGCGTGTTCCCACTGGCGGGAGATCGGGCCCCGAAGACGATCCCATATCTAGACATTTGGCCCATCCCGCCACCGCGCCAGGGTTATGGGTATGGAGCCTATTGGATGTTCGTTGGGATCTCGTGAGAGGCCTCTCGGGGGCCTCTTGGGAGCAGTTCGGGTGCCTCCCGGGGAGGGAGGGGGGGCTCTTGAGGTATCTTTGGGGCCTCTTGGGGGCCTCTATTGGGGGCCTCTCGGGGGCCTCTTGGGGCCTCCTGGGCGCCTGTTGGGGGCCTCCTGGGGGCCTCCTGGGGTCCTCCTGGCAGGGAAGGCTCGCATTGTCGGTTCGTGTTCCCTCTCTTGGGCTCCTTTTCGGGCCGTCTGGGGGCCATCTTGAGCCGTCTGGCCGTCGTGGGGCGCTCTTGGGCTGTCTTGGGCCCTCTTGGAGGCCTCTTTGATTTTTTGGGGTGGTCGTGGGGGCATCTTGGGCCGTTTTGGAGCGTCGCAGCGCCGAAAAGGCGAGAACGCCAAAACCTTTCGAACACAAAGGCAATCAATCGTTGGTGCCTCGTGAGGCCCTCTTGGGAGGCCTCTTGGAGACCTCTTGGGGCGTCTTGGAGGCTTATTGCGCCATCTTTATGCCATCTTAGGCGTCTTGAGCCGATCTTTTGCGCGTCTCGGAGCCCTCTTGAGTCGTCTTGGGCTCGTCTTGGGGCCCCCTCAGGCCCGACGCATCCACGCGCCACCACGTGGCAAAGCCCAGGGGGCACGCGGGAAACCCAGGGGGCACGCGCAAAGGCCCCGGGGGGGGGGGGCACGCGCCAAGCCCCGTGCGACGTGAGTGCGAGGGGTCGGGGCCCCGTAAGGACGCCGCAGGAGGCAGGAGTGAGGCTCGGAGGACTGGGCCCAGGGCCCGAGGACTCCCCCACGCCGTGCGCAGCGGCACGGTGGCGGGTATGCATATCTTTCTGGATCTGTGCAATTCGGCGGTGGCCTCATGCTCCTTCCGGGAGGCGAACCATCCTCGTTTGGATACGCCCGCCTGGCCAATCACACAGTTGTTCGCACCTGCGAAGTAGGCCGATTGATGTCTGCAAGCAGTCGTCCGAGACGACGTCCAGCGCCCGTGGGTGGATGTCGACATGTCCGAGAGCAGTCTCGAGCGAAAATCGTCGGAGCACACCCTTGAGATCTGTCAGCTGAATGTCTGATAATTCTGACCACTCATGGACGTCAGCAGGGAGCTCAAGGCCTTGCTGATTGTGGGTCGCCCAGGTGGTGGCCCACGTGCCCTTGCAGTCGTCTGCTCTATGGTCAGAGCGTGGCCTTCCTCAATGTTCAAGCACCTGTTGTAGTTGGCGTACCTTGGCGAACCTGCGTGTCTGCCGTGCACCGCTATTGAATGCGGCAAGGCCCCACTCCGTCCACACCTGTGTCTTGAAGCGCCCGAATGCCTGCACAACCTTGTGTCGAACAGCGCCTGGACATCGTGAACCAACGTGCTGCGACAGCATGACCCACGAAAGGTTCACCTTCAGCGTCGAGCTCCGTAGGAACCCTTTAGACGCGAGAAGCCTGATCGAGGAAGCCCTGCAAGTCCCAGGCCAGTGTCGTGAATAACCTAGGTTTGGTTTCCACGACCTTGTCATCTGTCTCTGCATCTGCAGCCGTACCAAAGCTTCCAAAATCGGAGGGCGCACGGGTCCAGTTGGCAGACTGTTGGATCTGAATATTTGCGAGCGGTAGCATGTGCCTGGGAAAGTGGCCGTGCGAAACCTCCTCCTTGTCCGCATTCAAGGTTTCGACACAAATGGTCATCCTGAGCTCCATGGACCTCTTGCGTGGAGCCCACCGCACAAGCATCTTGTCGGCATGCCCTCGCTGTGGCACTAAGCTTTCTGAAGATTGGGCTCCTCTTCCATTGCCATGCAGGAGGCCCGGCACGCCTTTGGTCTTCTGATTGCGGTCGTCCGCGGGATCATGTTTGTCCAGGGCCTCGCCCTCGAGGCGCACCAGTTCTGCCTCTGAGGCTGCCCGTGGTTGCCACGATCAGATCACGAGCAACACCCCAAGTGCGAATAGGAGGTCATCGAGAACAACTTCGCCTGGGTATCGGCTCGACCGAGAGCGGCTGCACAGGCACTCACGGTAATGCCGCCATTGTGCCCCCGGTAGAGTTGCGCAGCAAGGATCCTCCCAAGTTTAAGGCTTCGCCTGGTCGCGCCCAGGAGCCTTCGCGATGCAGATCAGCGCTGGCGCCGCCGCGGCCAGGCCGCCGACGGACCCCCACAATCGGTAGGGTGTGCAGGAGCCCAGAGCCCGCCGAAGCCTACACGAACCGCCTGAGATTGGCCGTCTGCGAGCTTGCCTGCATCAGCGCTGTGCTCTTGGAGCAGACTGACACTTTCAGCTGCCCAGGACGCCGTGAGCATGTCGATCAAAGGGCCGCGTGAGTTCACGATGGCAGCAACCGGGCAAGAGAGTGGTTTTAGCGTCGGGAGTTGTGCTCCTGAGCCTTCCGCTGCTGTGCCTGCAGCTCGGTGTCCAATGCATCCTTTTCAGGCGCTTGCCGCACCGCCGAGCTGTGGGGGATGCAGATGAAGTGGAAACCACCGCAGGCCACTGTTGCAGCAGCTGGAATTTCAACTGCGCCTCGTTGCCGAATAAACGCGGGCCAAGGTATGCACTGGCAGACTGGCCGCCAGATGCGTGACATCAGCAGTCAAGGATGAAGTAACACTCTCCGTGATATGCACGAGTAGCACACCAGCAGATCGAACCAGCAGGTCTGGCACAGCAGACCCCTGTGCCCTCGGCTCCCTCGCCCGATCCGTCAGGAGTGGGTGCGGCCGAGCAACTCGGGTGCGGCCTGTCGCTGTGCACTCTGGTTTCTCGCTCGTGGCGTCAGGAGTGGGCATGGCTGAACACGACGAGGAAGACGACCAGCAGTTGTGTCACGCCCTAGCCTGCGGAGCTGCCGTGGGCCAACTGGGCTGCCAGTCGGCGCCGCTTCGCAAACGTGGCCGATGCTTCCGACAGCCTCTTGACGGTTGCCTGTGCTTGAGCCTCCTCCTCGGGTGGTTCTTGCCCCATGTGTTGCCGGTAGGGAAGCCCTGGAATACACCCCTAGGGGGCTATTCGGACGCACCCCATATCGAATATTGACCCCCCCCGTAGTATATCCCAGGGTTGGATTCCAAATGTCAAGTCCGTTCGAAAACCCCATGGGGCTTGGGATGGGGGTTGACATATCCCCTGTTAGATTGAATTCCTTGAGCCGTCGGTGTCCATGGGCACTGCTAACCTGCTCGCGGTGCAGCTGCGAAGGCATCTGCTCAGGCGAGGGAGCTTGCACGGGTTGTTGTGGAGGTGCAGACGGCGGCGGTGGCCCAATTCTCTCCTGGAGCTTGCGCAGTGCCTCGAACGACGTGGCGATGGTGTTGGCTCACGTGTGGTCGGCCCCCCACAGCCTGCAGGAGTTCGCCCAGCTTGTCGACTGGGTGGTCGAGCGCTGGCACCAGGGTCTTGAGCGAGAATTTTCCAGGCACGGGCCTGAGCGCTTGCGAGGCAAGCGCCATGCGCTGGCTCTCGAGCTCCTGAAGCTCCACTGCAATGCCAGCCTCCTTAGCTGCGCGGCCTCGATCTTCTCCTCGAGCACCCCCTGCTGCGCGTGCAAGTCGGACAGGGTCTTGGCCTGCTTGAGCCTCTGGGCCCGCATCGTCTCGATGCAAACGGTCCAGTGCTGCACCTGCGCGGCGTAGGGCTAGTTGCTGACCATCTTCTCCTCGGGCCCATCGCGCTTGGCGACAATACGGTTCCTGGCATCGAGCAGAACCCTTCCGGTAAGCGTGCCAAGTTCACGGAGCAATGTGGCGATCTCCGCCAGCCGTTCGTGGTCAGCATTGTCACCTCCACTCTCCGATGGTGGTTGGGACATGGTGTTCGCGGTGGTGGTGTTCTGGGCCGCCTTGAGCCTGGCAATCCTTTGGTCCTTCTCGGATGAGTTTGGCCTAAAGCTGAATGGTGCCGCGGATCAGCGGTATCCGTGTGCTGTCGCAGACAGCCGAAGACTTGAGCCGAAAGGCGACGGAGGAGGGGGGAGGGAGGAGGGGGGGAGGGAGAGGGGGGGAGGGAGGAGGGGGGGAGGGAGAGGGTCCAGGAGGAGGAGGAGGCAGCGCAGAGAGCGCGGGCGCCGGCAGGCCGCAAACACGTCCGACGACGCGTTCAAGGCGTGGGGCGTCAAGGAGGGCGTCAAGATGTGCCGGGCCCGAGGGGGGGAAGTCTTCCTTCTCCTCTCCTCCTCCCTACACCTCCCTCTCCTTCCTCGTCTTCCCTCCCTCCCCCCTCCCTCCTTCCTCCTCCCTCCTTCCTCCTCCCTCCTTCCTCCTCCCTCCTTCCTCCTCCCTCCTTCCTCCTCATCCTCCTCTACCTTCACCTCCACTTCCACCTCCTCCTCCTCCTCCTGCTCATCCTGCTCATCCTCATCCTCCTCCTCCTCCTGCTCATCCTCCTCCTCCCCCCTCCTCCTCCAACCGGGGATCCGAATGGCCGGGGGTCTAGATTTGCTGTGGTTGGGCAGGGAGTGCCACTGCTCATCCCCCTCGTCCATCTTCTTCCCACCCTCTCTCCTCCGCATCTCCTTGTGCGCCTGCCAGACTCCGCCGTCTCATTCAACCTCCCTCCTTCCTTGTCCCCTCCCCTCCCTCCCTTTCCCCCCTCCTTCCTCCCTCCCCCCTCACTCCCTCGCCTACCTCCCCCATTCCCGCCCACCCCTCCAGCCAGACTTCTCGGGCGGACTGAATCATTAAATCTCGGCGGTGTTCTTCCTCGATCTGGGCGCCCTGGGGCTGGTTTCGGGTTCCAGGGCCATTGCCAGTGGATAGCGGATGAAACATTCTCCCGCGGCAGGGATGAAGACCTCTGGGGCCCGCGGGTTGAAAAGCAGATCGTCGGATGTGTGGGTTCTGCTTGGTTTCCCACCCCACCCTTTCTCCTCCCTTCCTCTTCCCCCTTCTTTGTTTCGCTCAATCCTCTCCTCCCCCGTCAAGCATTGGCTTCTCAATGCCTAGTCCTTCTCCCCTCCTGCTTCTCCAGAGCTTTGCTCAGAGCGAACCCAGACGCCAACCGCCCCGCATCCCTTCCCTCCTCGCGACACCAGACACGACCCAGGTCGTGACGGACTGGCGTCATCCCATTCCATGTTCCCGCGCACGCGCCGCAGTGGCATCCGCCGACGACCAGCTGGGCAGCGGCACCATTCCTCTGATCAGCAGTGATGCACCACATTGGGACGTCCCGACCGCGCCTCATCTTCACGGCCGATCTCGGGACCTCGCATACCAACAACATCCACTGGAAATCCGCGCCAGGGCCTCAGTGTGAACCTCCGATGCCAGCAGGACCACCGGCGACTGCGGCACCGACCGAGGATCCTTGAAACCCCGGAGTATTCTACCCTCCCGCCTCTTCGGAACGGGTAATTGCCAGCAGCGGGCCCTGCATTAAACCGCTGCAGCCCCGCCAAGCCCTACGCGTAAACTCACCAGGGTAGAGCTCAGCGCGCTCTCAAGTGGCGAAACCACAGAGACACCAGCGGCACGGCAGTTCGATCTGTCCACCAAGACCGAAGGGCTGTCCGACCTCACTGGCTCAGCCCTGGGTCCCGCGACTTGTGCAGCGTCCCGACGTGCCCGACTCTTGCGGGCGGTAGCTGCCGCGTGCAGTGTTTCGCGCTCCCTACTTCGGCTACCACGCCGTGCGCTGCAAGTGTGACTCGTCCAGCACGGGAACATCCTCTTTCGAGTCCCCGGGTGCACCGGGTGCCTAGCCCCCATGTTGTAGTTCATGTGGGCCCTCCCCCCGAAAGTCCGATGACCACCATTGCCGCCCGCCATTGGGGGCCGCCAGACCCACGTTACAGCAAGACCTCCCGCCGCGGCTCGCCACGACCCTCCTGCTGAGCGTCTGACGGCCGCCTGTGGTGCTGCTCAGTGTGGCCACCAGGCGAACACTCCAGCCGGACTCCGCATTGCCTCCCCTGACGCAGTCCGGTGTAATCTTCCACGTAAGTGGCCGCCGATTCTCATGGGTATCAGCAACGAGGGTCCGCTCAACACAAACGGGCCCCACGGGGTCCGACGACCGTCCTCCGACCTACTGGCCGCCGACGCCTGTCCGCCGACGTCCGACGACCGTCCGCCGATCCAAACGACCACTCATGACGTAGTCCGCAGCGACCCTCCGCGCCAGCAAACGCCGACTCTCCAGGGATGTGAGCCACGAGGGCCACAAGGCCCAAGCGGCAGCCAGTCCACCCACCGCGGTCCACTGACCCTTCCGCCGAGCGAGCGATGAACGTCACTGGTGCTCCTCGGTGTGGTCACCGGGCCAGCGCTGTCCGCCGACCGCCGTAACGACCGCCGACGACGGACGGTCGACTCCGCAATCGTTGACGATGGCGATCGACGCCCGTCACTCCGACCGCCCTGTGCTCGACGACTGGCCCACGACGTCACTGTCGCGCGGCAGTGCGGCCACCAGGCCAACCTTCCAGCCAGACCTCGCGTTGTCACACATGTCCGCTCAACGATCGTCGACGTCCGTCCGCCGACCGCCGGAACGGCCGCCGACGACCGACTGTCGAATGCTCGACCTCTGACGACGACGCCCGTGTCATCACGGAGTTGCGAGGGAACTCAGGTGACGGTAACCAATCAGGAGCGCATGCCCACCAACGGCCACCGCGGCATCGTTGTCGGCCGAGCGGTTGAGCAAAGCCAGCAGTGGGCGTTCCAAATGACCAACGGTAGCATCGCACACCTGCGCACGGCCAGGTTGACAGCGGCCCCCGCTGGTAGGAAGAAACTGTTCGACGCCCTGACGCAGACCCACAGACCAGTGTCCGGCGAACGACCCACGACGCCGAATTCCACGATGATTCATGACGCAGTCCGCACTATTCTCCTTGCGAGCATCCGCAGACTCAGGAACATCAGAAAGAGCGCGTTCTGTGGTCGCTTGGAAGGGGGGGGGGGTTGGAACCGGACCCCCCCCCCCAGATGGAAGACGGAGGGGGGTGTCGAACCGCATGTGGGCCGAGTCCCAACCAATTGAGCCCAATCCCAACCAACTGGGACCAATCCCAACCAGTGCGAAAAGCAAACTGGGCCCAATCAAAACCTGCTTGGGATAGCCTCACAATAAGGTTTTAAGTGCAGAGAAGCCCAAGACGAATGTGAGGACCAAGTGACACCTCATATATCAACGCAGAGGTTCTGGAAGCCAACATACGTGCCAGAGTTGGATTTGGCCCCAGTTTGGTCTGCGCACGAACACTATGTTAAGATGAGCAAGAGGGCACCGAACTGTAAGCAAAACCGCACCGAATTGCATCGACTCTAAAATATACAAAATGGCTCCTGGTAGCAGTAGTAGTAGTAGTAGTAGTAGTAGTAGTAGTAGTAGTAGTAGTAGTAGTAGCAGTAGCAGTAGTATGAGCAGTAGTAGTCGTAGTCGTGATAGTAGTAGTAATAGTAATAGTCGTCGTAGTAGTGATAATAGAATCACTAGTAGTAGTAAAAATAATAATAGTAGAAGTGGCAGTAGTAGTCATAGTGGAAGAAAGTCGTAGTCGTAGGCGTAGATGTGGTAGTCGTAGTCGTAACATGGTGGTAGTAGTAGTAGTAGTAGTAGTAGTAGTAGTAGTAGTAGTAGTAGTAGTCGTAGTCGTAGTAGTAGTAGTAGTAGTAGTAGTAGTAGTAGCAGCAGCAGTAGTAGTAGTAGTAGTAGGTGTTGTTGTAGTAGTGGTAGCCGTAGTCGTAGTCGTAATAAGAGTCATAGTCGTAGTAGTAGTAGTAGTAGTAGTAGTAGTAGTAGTAGTAGTAGTAGTAGTAGTAGTAGTAGTAGTAGTAGTAGTAGTAGTAGTAGTAGTAGTAGTAGTAGTAGTAGTAGTAGTAGTAGTAGTAGTAGTAGTAGTAGTAGTAGTAGTAGTAGTAGTAGTAGTAGTAGTAGTAGTAGTAGTAGTAGTAGTAGTATTAGTAGAAGGAGTAGTAGTAGTAGTAGTAGTAGTAGTAGTAGTAGTAGTAGTAGTAGTAGTAGTAGTAGTAGTAGTAGTAGCAGTAGTAGTAGTAGTAGTAGTAAATGGTAGTAGTAGTAGTAGTAGTAGTAGTAGTCGTCATCGTGGTAGTGGTAGTGGTAGTGGTAGTGGGAGTGGTAGTGGTAGTGGTAGTGGTAGTGGTAGTGGTAGTGGTAGTGGTAGTGGTAGTGGTAGTGGTAGTGGTAGTGGTAGTGGTAGTGGTAGTGGTAGTGGTAGTGGTAGTGGTAGTGGTAGTAGTAGTAGTAGTAGTAGTAGTAGTAGTAGTAGTAGTAGTAGTAGTAGTAGTAGTAGTAGTAGTACTAGTAGGAGTAGTAGTAGTAGCCGTCGTGGCACACATGATAAGAATGAAGAGGATGGCGGGGGGGACGAGGAGGATCGGGAGGAGGAGGACGACGACGACGACGAGGGGGAGGAGGAGGACGAGGAAGAAGACGACCAGGAGGTGGAGGACGAAGAAGAAGGAGGATGAGGAGGAAGAGGGCAAGGAGGAAGGGGAGGAGGATGATGACGAGGGCGAGGAGGATGGGGGGGGGAGGGGGCAGAGGAGGACGGAGGAGAAGGAGGACGAGGAGGACGGGGAGGAGGAGGGGGACGAAGATGATGAGGAGGAGAGGGAGGAAGAAGAGGGGGGAAGGCGGAGGACACACGCAAACCCCCTATAGGGTTGCGTTGTGTTGTGTTGTGTTGTTCGCCCCCCCCTCCCATCTCCCCCCCCGGGGGGGGTTGCCCCGCCTGTATCAACAACAACAACAACAACAGCAGAAGCAGCAGCAGCAGCAACAACAACAACAACAACAACAACAACAACAACAAC